TTCCTCAAGTCTAACATCACACACATTTGTATTCTGTAGAAGTCCAGTTTTTGTGTGTGCTATTTTGTTTAAATGTGTTTGCTTGTTTGTTTGTTTTTGGGTTTTTTGGTTTGGGAAGAAGCTGTGATGCTCTTTGGTGGCTTCACATCCCTCTTTTGTCTAATGTTCGTTAATTACTAACACAATTATTAATAGTGTTAAATATTACTTAATGTGTGTTCCCTGCCTATGTGCCCTGTGAATTTCCCAACTGTGGGACTAATAAAAGTTATTTTATATTATTAAAGTCAGCCCTCTGTTTGTACATATTATGTAACCCTCTGTTCCTCTTTGTGCAAGTGTCAGTTCATTCCTCATGTGCTGCTATGAGTTATTCTGCATGTTCTCCATTCATCCTGGTTCCTTGTTTTGTTTTGTCTGTTTCTCTTTGGACTCTGTTTAACTTTAGATTTATATTACTTCTCGTTTCTTTTTTTAAATACTCTGCAATGTGACTCTACATTTAGGTTTTTACTTCTTCCTCACAACTGTGGAAGACAGAATTGACATCGCTGTGAAATATGACTACTCAAAATGGGTGACATGTGGACATTTTTACGTTGCATCACATTATAAAGAACTGCATTGCTTTGAAGGCTTAGACAGCAATGTTTTAATCTTTATATTAAAGCTTAGAAAACATGGGGTGTTATGTAACCATTTGTCTTAACAGAAAATAATGTTCATTTACTTCACAATTAAATTACTTTACTTTACTTACATGGTATTGGAAAAAACAAAAAATGAACTACCATCAAAGAAACACAGTAAGGCTACACTAGATTATATACTTTAACACAAAGTTAACTTTGTGTGCCAGATTGTTGATGGTTGTTTCAGTTAAAATGAATTAAAATGATAATTGTAAAAAAAACAAACAAACTGCAGATGTGACAGCAAATGGCAATGTGTAATGTCAGGACCCGGAAACATTTTAATAGTTCTCTTAGTTTTTAATATGCAAGTATGTGAAGGTTGTGCAAGTCAAGCATGAGAACAGAGTCACGGCAGATGTGTGAGCAGTGACAGAGAAATAGTAGAAATGAGAAGTGCAAGACAGTTGTGAAGGTGGATGAGTTCAAATACCTAGGGTCAATCTTCCAAAGCAATAGAGAGTGCACAACAGAGCTGAAGAACAGAGTGTAGGCAGGGTGGAGTGGGCGGAGGGAAGTGTCTGGGGTGATTTGTGGCATAATGATAGCAGCAGGGTGGAGTGGGTGGAGCTTACTTTTGAGTGGTTTGAAGGAGGACAAGCAGAGGTTTGACAGAAGAGGATGCCAGACAATCATGATATGCATGATACAGTGGGACAAAAAAGTATTTAGTCAGCCACCGATTGTGCAAGTTCCCCCACTTAAAATGATGACAGAGGTCAGTAATTTGCACCAGAGGTACACTTCA